CTGTGCTCCATAGGGACTGGGGTCACTGAAAAGGTGACTAAGACTTTCCACTCCTTTCTTGGATCGTCTTCTCCGGTAGTCGCTGGAGTCCGGGAACCTATGGGGGCATCATGAGTTGGTCCCTTGGATTGAGTGGTGATCATCTTGGGTGAAATGAATGGGTTCCGTCTCCACGTCCATTCGGGGTGTACGGTTTGCGCTGTACATTCTTGGTGGAAATGAATGGGTTCGGTTCCCACGTCACTCGGTGAGTGGATCCACTCTCCTTGGTTTGACCTGGGACTCGTGGTGTGGAAAGGGTACCGCCCCAGGGTGCGTCTGGTGCTTGCGGGGGGCCATGCTTCTGCGTGGATTTCGCCTTTTTGGCGTGGCCCTGCACCGGGAGCCCAAAGGTACCAAGCGTGTTCTTATAGAGGGGCACCCCACCTGGAGTGGGCGTGCCAAACATTCCTATGGCCACTTGCTCTTCATTGACCTTGACGAAGGAGTCCACGAAATCCAGAGGCTACAAATCACCACCCCGCAAGTTATTCCACATGGGGTACGGTGCGAGGGATTGCTGCGTGTACTCTCATAGGTTAGCTTTGACCTTCCTGAGCACCTTAAGACGACTCTAAGTGATTTGTTAGTAGCAGCAGGAGACGGGAACATGGAGCTACAGAATATACCCATCGGTGGACGGGACATACGGGATGGTCAGCCTGAAACGGAAGCTGACCTACAAGCAGCTCTGATTGCGATGATCCCCACACCGGGAGGCTCCCACGATGAGGGTGGGTTGCTGGTTCGCAACCTACTGGCGGAATTCCTGCGTGGGTTCTCATTACGAACCCTCATCTTCCTACTGGACATGGTTCTTCCGCAACTAGACGCTTACCATGTGGGACGGCAGCTCCAGCATCTCCAGCCCTGAGTCAGTGTGGAACTTGCGCAGCAGAAGAAGCGAGGACAAACAGGAACACGCTTGCAGCTCACCTACTGGGGAGGACCCACTTTGGGAGTCCATTTTCGACAACCAAACCCAACCCCAGAAATGACCCCGTGACGTCTCACCTCCTGCTGCTGCGCGCGCTTCGGAGCCATGGACCTGCAAGGAAACAAAGAACACCATGGAATCTTCAAGCTTTAGCTCTCCTGGAAATGTCTTTATTCATGCTTTGACTCAAAAGGTGAAACTTGGAAGGTAATACATGTTCACAGCTGGATTTGCTAGTAACTGCTACTACACCCCTTCAAGCCTACATCAAAGCACTTGATTGCTGCCTTGTGAGAAATGACATGTACAATTTATGGTCACAAAGCGGGTGCCTGCCTGCACTCTTGAAGAGAAAGCTCCTGCATGAGAAGCACATCAAAGCAGCACTGGTGGTGTGGACATTCGGCGCTATGAAAATTTGATACCAAGGGCACAGAGCAAACACCTTTTCGTCTGCCTTGAAACCAGCTACGCTTGCAAAAGGAAAAGCTTTCAGGTGCACATGCATAAATTACGAATTTGAAGGGGCTCCAGGAACACCATTGAAATACACCACAACACGATTGCCCTCTTTGCCTAGCCAATCGTGATTATCAAGAAACTGCAAGTTCAAGGTGCTGTGGTTAATTGTTGCCACAATTGGGACCCGAAACAAATATTTCTCATATTTGCACTGGCCCCCAGGTGTGATTCCAAATTCAAGCTCCACGTTGTACTTCCCTTGGATTTTGTCTTGGTTTTCAGTCAAGAACCTCAAGTCCCTGACGTCGTCCAGAACAAGCCCATCATGCTGTCTGCGGTCAAATGATCGGAGCTTGTCTGGAAAATGAAGCAAAGGTCCTATCTTCAGTTCCAGGGGCTTTCGAAACAGAGAATTGGCATACTCCGTCTTTCCACACATTGAAGGGCCCAGGAGCAGAAGCACCGGATAGCGCAAGGCATCGTCAGCAAAGCGACGCAGCCATGCACTGACTTCAGGAAGTTCAGGAAAAGGACGGTAGAGGGCTGGATTCGACCTGATGCGAGATGTGGTTGCATCAATCTCAGCAGCAATTTCCAATCGATCCTCCTCTTCCTGAACCGCGTCTAGATTCCTCTTGCGGCCAACGACGCCGTCGCGGGTCTTGAAGAGATAGTCTCTGTAGACTTGATTGGACAATTTCCGCTGCTTCCACAACTTTTCCGGCCATGCTCCCAGCACTTGGTACCTGAACTTCTCCTGCGTCCAGCAAGGAAAATAGTTTCCAGCCACGCAAACTTCATTTTCAGGCGTCCTCGCCGTTCCAACCTTGTCGGCCCAAACATAGAAAAAGCCGCGGTCAATGCTCGTCTGAAGCTTCTTCCGGCACAGACCTTCTCCACATAGGTCGGTTGGCTGAACATTGGGCTTCACGCCTTCAAAAACAAAACCCCTCACGGTCTTGTCAACAGTGCTAGAGAACTGGATCATCAAATGGATGTGGAAAGCCACACCCTCCAACCCTGTTTCCAAGGTGGAACACCAATGCTTCGCTGTCCAAGTCTTCATCCGAGCAACCACAAAAGCATTGAATCGGAGCCATTGCCCGACACTGGCAACTCCCTGGTAAGTGAGCAGAACAGCAGAAGAATTGCTGCGAAACTCTTTCCTAGACCCGTCAGAGCGGGTGGAAGCAAGAACCAAACGAGAATTCTGCGCACACGGCGCAGTGCTTTGCTTCTGGGCCGTCTCCCACTTCATCCTGGCATCATTGAGTTGCTGTTGGTGTTCAACTTGGCCTCCTCTGTCAGGATGCGCCTTCAAAGCCAGCCGACGAAAGTCTTTCAAAACCACACCATCTGGAGAATCACGGCTGCAACTGACGCGCGCATCATAAACTTGCGCAAGCGCGCAAATCACATTGACTAGAGCGCGCTTGGCGGCCTGAATGGGCCCACAAACCATGTTGGGAAGAATGAGCTTCGACTTGGTCCTGAATGCCTGCTATGCTGTCAGTCATTCATGTCGCGGAGTCGGTCGGAATCGAGGCTTGCAAGTGCTTCCCCCAATGTAAACAGTGTATCGAACCCTGTACGGGCTCCAGCCGACTCCGGCAAGACTCCGCATAAGAAGATAGCAGAATTGGCTCCAGACTGTGGTGAAATGCATTTTTTCGATTTTCACTGCTTTGCCGGAGTCGGCAAAAAGATTGAAAACCAAACGCTTCCCCCAATCACAATGCTGCAATCATCCGGTTTTTAATATATACTATTATTGTTAACCCGGATACGATCGAACTCCGGCAAACCCAAGATTTTTTTGCTAGCTCCCCTTATCACTTGTTTTCTTTGTTATGTGCTAGGAGTCTAGGGGGTGAAAGGGGGTGCAGCGCATCGACACAAATCTAAACTGGCGCCATGATCAAACCACGCAGTCCTGGAATCGCACAGAAGAGGAGAAATCACCCGAGGCCTCAGAAATGATCCGGCAAGCGGTAAAGACAATTGAATCAAATATTTGATGGGTTCAAACATGGCATGACCAAGCAAAAACACGAATGATAAAACGCAACTTGACCCAAAACCAAGTGTCTGCAAAAACAAAATCTAAAGTTAAAGTGCAGACTGAAACCCATCTGTAATCCCACTGCAATGCATGGCATGAACCCTGCTGGCACAGTCATTCTCTCTCTCTCTCTCCCTCTCCCTCCCTCCCTCCCTCTCTCTCTCTCTCTCTCTCTCTCTCTCTCCCCCTCTCTCCCTCTCTCTCTCTCTCCCTCGCAACCATGCAAGGTTCACACGGATCGCTGAAATTACGCAATCCTTGCTGCGGTGTGCAAGCATGAACTTAATTAACGTTTGCAGGCAACCAAAAGATTCTTCAACAATCGTCCTCGCTCTCAAAAACCTCTTCTACTGCATGTCACGCTGCGCTACAGGATGCTTCGCCAGGTCCCTGAGCCCTGCACAGACAGCAATCACGAAAGCCACGCAATCAAGTTCAAACAGCTGCGGTAACCCTTTGAGTGGATGCACAACCCAAACGAACCAAAACCGTCAAGACGTCCTACACATCTTTAGCAACCAACATCTCCCAACTGAACACAAAAATCTGCCTGGCTATCTGACAACTTTCAAAGCCGATTTCTTTTCAAACTGGATATCTCCCCCCGACTCCAACTTGAGATGTCAAAAAGGGATCTTAAAGAATACACTTCTGATTCGTGCGTGGCATCAAATGAGACCCACAGGTTGGCATGTACATTTCTCGGCTTGCGCACCTCAGACCTTGTTCCTGCCACTCTGTGCAAGCAAATGTCAAAAAATTTTGGTTTGCAGAAACTTGTTTCCACATGTTGAAACAAACAATCAGACAAAAGTTGCAAACCTACGCGAGCGTTGGAAAAGTAGACAACACAGGCAAGAAGGATGCACAGAGGGGCGAGTCAAGAGGAGCAGCAGAAGCAAAGAAGGAAACAGCAAACCACCAATTCAATAGCAAAGGGCCCGAGGGACGCATCGGGCGTCACAAGCGGTAGGAATTTTAACGCGTATACCACAAGTCATCACTGGACACTAGACCTGTAAATCCTATAAGCCTTCGCTAAAAACATGCATGACGAAATCTGCACTCGGGCTTTGACAGGTTGACCTGACCAAGTTGCGAACAGCGACGAACAAGAAATTAAAAACAAGTTCACATCACAACTTTCCGTGGTTTCAAAAAAGGAAAGACCTAGAGGCCAACACCGCATACGCAAAACAAAAACAAGCGTCCGACTCCAACCAACTGACCACGCTTCAAATTAAGCAGAACGCTTGCGAAACGCACCAGCGCGCATGTAGCAGATGATTTGAAAGCGCAAGAACCCTGTAATCAGGAATCCCTCCGTTTGCTGCTATGTTTTCCAGGCTCCAGACACTTATGGCTTGGATCCCATCACATCCCTCTCTGTCTCTGCGTTGCAACAGCTTGAAACTTGAAACTTCACAAAAGGTTTATCGGTACAGTGCACGGAGCTGCTCGAGCAGCTGCACAGCTACATCTCTCAGGCAGCGCGGCCTGTCACGTGCTGGGAATCGCAACCGTGGACACCCGGCCACCAAGCGAGTCAGGCACCTTCTCCGAGCGCAACTCCGACACCTTGGAACCCATGTGGTGCTTTCCATTCCTACAAATTGCGTGGACAATAACTTTCTTTCATCACGTCAATTGCAGCCACAAAAGAATTTAAAGATCGATTCAAGAGATGCGCGGGGGGCACCGCCAGCTGCAGCACCACCACCTCAATGCACAACTAAATTTCTTATCAGCACTGCAAAACACACATTGCCACAGCACTGGATACTTGGAATTCCAAACTCACAAAAAAAAGCATTGCCTCCAACTCCAACTGCTGCCCCGCCATCAGCACCTGCAAAACCAAAAAACTGACTCTCCTTTGCAACAGAAACACTCAAGCGCATTCCGCTTGGAGCCTCCACCACCTCCGCCACCAGCAGCAGCCCCGACGGCAGCAGCATCACCTGACACTTGGAGGACAGCATGCGCCGGAACTTCCAGCACATAAGCACGACCTTGTTGCGCACGTTGCAGAAGCAGCTGGAGGTCATCAGCGGACAGGCCTTTGGCAGCCTGCAATGCAGTCTTCAAAGCAAATTTGCAACCTTTTCAAACTTTTCGTTTGAAAAAAAAACTACGATGTTGCTGGCAAAAGGTTGCAGCAGCCACGATTGAAGAACCGCAGGTGTTTCAACACACAGTGAAGACGCGACAGTTCTTACAACATTGCCTTCAACAGACGCTGTCGCTTCGCAGCTAGGAGCTTCTGATCTTTGGCTGCTTGCTTCGATTGGCGCTTCAACTCAACACGGCGGCGCTTCAAGGTCTCCATTTCTTGGTGGAGCAAAGCCTGACCGCAAGGAGCAAATGACGAAGGTATGGCAGGCATGCCCAACAGAAAGCCACCAGGCAAATCCCTTTTCCTAGGAAGCTACCCTATCCACCTCTGCCCTAGACCTCTCTTCACAACGCCAGCCCACTGCGAGCACAAAATTCGCACCGCGCCACAACGAGGGACTGCGCAACGATCCAAAATGGCCACCGCACCACACCGCCAACCTGACCCCAAGGCGACCTCGGGATGACAGGGCAACTTCAAGCTGACCCCAACGCAACTTCAACGTCACCGGACGCCGACCTCAAGGTGACCACCTCGAGCCGACCTCAAGGTGACCACCTCGAGCCGACCTCAAGGTGACCACCTCGAGCCGACCTCGAGGTGACCACCTCGAGGTGACCTCCGGCATCATTGGTGTTTAAGGTGAACCACACCGGTGTTTAAGGTGTACCACACCCCTGGTGTTTTAAGGTGAACCACACCGGTGTTTAAGGTGTACCACACCCCCGGTGTTTAAGGTGAACCACACCAGTGTTTAAGGTGTACCACCACCACGGTGTTTAAGGTGAACCACACCAGTGTTTATTTAAGGTGTACCACCACCACGGTGTTTAAGGTGAACCACACCAGTGTTTAAGGTGTACCACCACCACGGTGTGTAAGGTACACCCCACCTGCAACCCTGCAAGCCCGCCTACGACCCTCAAACCTCCACCTATGACCCTTCCAGATCACACCTGCGACGTGCAAATCCCCTTGTAGGGAGCGCAGCCCACTTTGCTCACAAAATTCGCACCGCGCCACAACGGAAGACCACGTTACGATCCAAAATTGTCACCGCGCCACACGCGCACACTCAATCATAACGTCCTCCTCGCGCAGAGAGAATAATCTAGTTTAACTTTTTCAAACGCGCGAAGCACGTTACGATTGCATGTTTTCCTACAGCCGCGTGCCACTTTTTGATCATAACGTGCTTCAAGTGCTTCCTCTACATGGAAACAACTTGCGTCCAAATAGCTGCCACGGCAACCCCAATTTTCAGCTCGCAATCAACCCTGCTTTCTGGACTCCACGGACCGGTCCTCCTCAGTTGCAACAGGCAAAAAAAAATATATTCAGTCAAGTGTAAGTGGATGATCCATGGTGCCAATGAAGGAGGCGGGCAACGGCCGTCTCCTCGATCTGACATAGTCCAATAATCCTATTTGGCTTGCAGGAACGCTATCCCAACATAGGTATGCCTCAATGTTTATTTTCATCTTCTTTGGGAAGACCAAGCTCGCACTTTGCACAGATGGCAAACCTTCTGGAACTTGTGGACACAGCTTCCAGCCCAAGGCATCACAAAGTCTCTCTCCAAGACACGTTTGCTCTGCTACCGCCCCAACTGCTGCAAAAGCTGCCTCCCAGTCATTGGCCGGCAACACAACCTCAATGGCAGCTACCACAACCTCGAGCCATTGCATCGTTGTCACCGAACCAGCTGCAGATGCGGCTTTGCGTCGACGCCACATCTCTTTAAAAGCTGCCTTGAACCTCGCAAACAAATGCGTGTCGCACGGTTGCAACTCTGCAGTCATCAGTGCCGGAATGTAACACAGTCGGATTCCACAACGCTTGGCGTGTGCCAAGATGGTTGGATGAATGTGACAGCGAGCCACGTCCAAAATCAAGATAACATAGCGTTCCTTAACGACACTTCCCAAAGATGAAGCTAGCAAGGACAAATACCTCCTCATCAAGGCATGTGTGTTCCACGCTGACTTGCATCGCCAGACATGTATGTTGGTCGGCAAAGACGTCAAACTCTTCAGCAACGCCACAGAAAATTGGTGCTCATTTCCAATGAGCACTTGCGGCAGCCGGAGTTGGACCTCTGGGTCATGACAAATGCTTGCCAGGAATGTGATGTGGCTGCGTCTGTCACTGAGACAAGATACTTCTCCGAATGCACCTGTCAGGCCCAAAGTCTTGACTACAGTACCAACCAACCCACTGGCATGCCGCACCACGGCAGTCTCGTCCATGTTGATCAGCAAAGGCGGGCGATGGGCAGGAGCGGCTGCGCAGGCTGCGTTGATCCATTGGAAATAAGCCAAAGCCTGGCAAGAAATACACAGCCAAAAACGGGAGCGCCAGACACTCCCAAAAATGGGTTTGCAATTGGATTATATTTGGAAATGCTATTATTTCCTGGGTACGCTCCCAATTTTGGCTTTCCCAAACACAACCAAAAACGGGCTTGCCCCAGATGCTCCTTGGATTGCTTCTCTTGCACTGATAGGTGGCTGCACAGCTTGAGCTTTCCGATGCGCAACCCCCAACGCAATCGAAACGTCGCCAACCATCTCCTCTGGCTACGAGGTGTAGTGACCAGAAGTGAACGCAATTTTTGCTGGTAAAACTGCGGCGCCAAAGCAGGTATGGCACACAAAGCTTGCTCCACCAACTGTGCCCGAGATGGGGCCACACCATGAACTGCGTTTTGCTCTTCAACCCATGCAGTCAAAGAACGTTCCATCAACCAGCGGAGAATTTTCAACATCTGAGCTCCACTGACCAAACCAGCTTGGACAGGGTTGCCACAAAGCCTTGCAATCTGCGACAAAGGCGCCGTATCATAGGCTGATTCAATATCAGAAACCAGCTGTCGCCTTTCTCCAGAACAAATCCCAGAAGCCGCGGCAACAAAAGTTCTTTTCTTCCAACAACCTCGGCCCTGCACAAAGTCTGCAGCTACGTCAGCAATACCACCGCTGTATTCCAAGACCACCAAGCAGGGCGGGCTGGAAGGCGAGCATCGCCAGCCCTGACCATGTCGCAGCACCCTTCCTTGCTTCTTTCTCTTGGCATTGGCAGTCTGCTTCTGTAATCTTCTGAGCTGCTGTCGCACATCTGCCAGCTCCGCGTGGAGCACTTGGTTACGCATGGCCGGCTCCATGTCTATTGCATAGATTTTGGCTGTTCCAAATGTACAGTATCACAGCGCAGGCCTCATGAAACCAAACCTGCACAAGGTCTAGAAGAGATCCGCAAATCTGATATACGCCATAGGAATCCTAGTCCCCTATCAATTAAAAAGCAAAACGATTGTGCCTTGTTTTGATCCAAATTTTCATATTTCCAGCACTGCATGGGCAGACCTACAACAAATGTCCTTCTGAGCAAACTTGCTGCAGCTTCCAAGCTTCCAAATTATTGGATTGGCATCTCCATTCTTCAAGCTGGAAAGAACACAGTGCAGACTGGGGAGGACCCACTTTGGGAGTCCATTTTCGACAACCAAACCCAACCCCAGAAATGACCCCGTGACGTCTCACCTCCTGCTGCTGCGCGCGCTTCGGAGCCATGGACCTGCAAGGAAACAAAGAACACCATGGAATCTTCAAGCTTTAGCTCTCCTGGAAATGTCTTTATTCATGCTTTGACTCAAAAGGTGAAACTTGGAAGGTAATACATGTTCACAGCTGGATTTGCTAGTAACTGCTACTACACCCCTGCAAGCCTACATCAAAGCACTTGATTGCTGCCTTGTGAGAAATGACATGTACAATTTATGGTCACAAAGCGGGTGCCTGCCTGCACTCTTGAAGAGAAAGCTCCTGCATGAGAAGCACATCAAAGCAGCACTGGTGGTGTGGACATTCGGCGCTATGAAAATTTGATACCAAGGGCACAGAGCAAACACCTTTTCGTCTGCCTTGAAACCAGCTACGCTTGCAAAAGGAAAAGCTTTCAGGTGCACATGCATAAATTACGAATTTGAAGGGGCTCCAGGAACACCATTGAAATACACCACAACACGATTGCCCTCTTTGCCTAGCCAATCGTGATTATCAAGAAACTGCAAGTTCAAGGTGCTGTGGTTAATTGTTGCCACAATTGGGACCCGAAACAAATATTTCTCATATTTGCACTGGCCCCCAGGTGTGATTCCAAATTCAAGCTCCACGTTGTACTTCCCTTGGATTTTGTCTTGGTTTTCAGTCAAGAACCTCAAGTCCCTGACGTCGTCCAGAACAAGCCCATCATGCTGTCTGCGGTCAAATGATCGGAGCTTGTCTGGAAAATGAAGCAAAGGTCCTATCTTCAGTTCCAGGGGCTTTCGAAACAGAGAATTGGCATACTCCGTCTTTCCACACATTGAAGGGCCCAGGAGCAGAAGCACCGGATAGCACAAGGCATCGTCAGCAAAGCGACGCAGCCATGCACTGACTTCAGGAAGTTCAGGAAAAGGACGGTAGAGGGCTGGATTCGACCTGATGCGAGATGTGGTTGCATCAATCTCAGCAGCAATTTCCAATCGATCCTCCTCTTCCTGAACCGCGTCTAGATTCCTCTTGCGGCCAACGACGCCGTCGCGGGTCTTGAAGAGATAGTCTCTGTAGACTTGATTGGACAATTTCCGCTGCTTCCACAACTTTTCCGGCCATGCTCCCAGCACTTGGTACCTGAACTTCTCCTGCGTCCAGCAAGGAAAATAGTTTCCAGCCACGCAAACTTCATTTTCAGGCGTCCTCGCCGTTCCAACCTTGTCGGCCCAAACATAGAAAAAGCCGCGGTCAATGCTCGTCTGAAGCTTCTTCCGGCACAGACCTTCTCCACATAGGTCGGTTGGCTGAACATTGGGCTTCACGCCTTCAAAAACAAAACCCCTCACGGTCTTGTCAACAGTGCTAGAGAACTGGATCATCAAATGGATGTGGAAAGCCACACCCTCCAACCCTGTTTCCAAGGTGGAACACCAATGCTTCGCTGTCCAAGTCTTCATCCGAGCAACCACAAAAGCATTGAATCGGAGCCATTGCCCGACACTGGCAACTCCCTGGTAAGTGAGCAGAACAGCAGAAGAATTGATGCGAAACTCTTTCCTAGACCCGTCAGAGCGGGTGGAAGCAAGAACCAAACGAGAATTCTGCGCACACGGCGCAGTGCTTTGCTTCTGGGCCGTCTCCCACTTCATCCTGGCATCATTGAGTTGCTGTTGGTGTTCAACTTGGCCTCCTCTGTCAGGATGCGCCTTCAAAGCCAGCCGACGAAAGTCTTTCAAAACCACACCATCTGGAGAATCACGGCTGCAACTGACGCGCACATCATAAACTTGCGCAAGCGCGCAAATCACATTGACTAGAGCGCGCTTGGCGGCCTGAATGGGCCCACAAACCATGTTGGGAAGAATGAGCTTCGACTTGGTCCTGAATGCCTGCTATGCTGTCAGTCATTCATGTCGCGGAGTCGGTCGGAATCGAGGCTTGCAAGTGCTTCCCCCAATGTAAACAGTGTATCGAACCCTGTACGGGCTCCAGCCGACTCCGGCAAGACTCCGCATAAGAAGATAGCAGAATTGGCTCCAGACTGTGGTGAAATGCATTTTTTCGATTTTCACTGCTTTGCCGGAGTCGGCAAAAAGATTGAAAACCAAACGCTTCCCCCAATCACAATGCTGCAATCATCCGGTTTTAAATATATACTATTATTGTTAACCCGGATACGATCGAACTCCGGCAAACCCAAGATTTTTTTGCTAGCTCCCCTTATCACTTGTTTTCTTTGTTATGTGCTAGGAGTCTAGGGGGTGAAAGGGGGTGCAGCGCATCGACACAAATCTAAACTGGCGCCATGATCAAACCACGCAGTCCTGGAATCGCACAGAAGAGGAGAAATCACCCGAGGCCTCAGAAATGATCCGGCAAGCGGTAAAGACAATTGAATCAAATATTTGATGGGTTCAAACATGGCATGACCAAGCAAAAACACGAATGATAAAACGCAACTTGACCCAAAACCAAGTGTCTGCAAAAACAAAATCTAAAGTTAAAGTGCAGACTGAAACCCATCTGTAATCCCACTGCAATGCATGGCATGAACCCTGCTGGCACAGTCATTCTCTCTCTCTCTCTCCCTCTCCCTCCCTCCCTCCCTCTCTCTCTCTCTCTCTCTCTCTCTCTCTCCCCCTCTCTCCCTCTCTCTCTCTCTCCCTCGCAACCATGCAAGGTTCACACGGATCGCTGAAATTACGCAATCCTTGCTGCGGTGTGCAAGCATGAACTTAATTAACGTTTGCAGGCAACCAAAAGATTCTTCAACAATCGTCCTCGCTCTCAAAAACCTCTTCTACTGCATGTCACCCTGCGCTACAGGATGCTTCGCCAGGTCCCTGAGCCCTGCACAGACAGCAATCACGAAAGCCACGCAATCAAGTTCAAACAGCTGCGGTAACCCGTTGAGTGGATGCACAACCCAAACGAACCAAAACCGTCAAGACGTCCTACACATCTTTAGCAACCAACATCTCCCAACTGAACACAAAAATCTGCCTGGCTATCTGACAACTTTCAAAGCCGATTTCTTTTCAAACTGGATATCTCCCCCCGACTCCAACTTGAGATGTCAAAAAGGGATCTTAAAGAATACACTTCTGATTCGTGCGTGGCATCAAATGAGACCCACAGGTTGGCATGTACATTTCTCGGCTTGCGCACCTCAGACCTTGTTCCTGCCACTCTGTGCAAGCAAATGTCAAAAAATTTTGGTTTGCAGAAACTTGTTTCCACATGTTGAAACAAACAATCAGACAAAAGTTGCAAACCTACGCGAGCGTTGGAAAAGTAGACAACACAGGCAAGAAGGATGCACAGAGGGGCGAGTCAAGAGGAGCAGCAGAAGCAAAGAAGGAAACAGCAAACCACCAATTCAATAGCAAAGGGCCCGAGGGACGCATCGGGCGTCACAAGCGGTAGGAATTTTAACGCGTATACCACAAGTCATCACTGGACACTAGACCTGTAAATCCTATAAGCCTTCGCTAAAAACATGCATGACGAAATCTGCACTCGGGCTTTGACAGGTTGACCTGACCAAGTTGCGAACAGCGACGAACAAGAAATTAAAAACAAGTTCACATCACAACTTTCCGTGGTTTCAAAAAAGGAAAGACCTAGAGGCCAACACCGCATACGCAAAACAAAAACAAGCGTCCGACTCCAACCAACTGACCACGCTTCAAATTAAGCAGAACGCTTGCGAAACGCACCAGCGCGCATGTAGCAGATGATTTGAAAGCGCAAGAACCCTGTAATCAGGAATCCCTCCGTTTGCTGCTATGTTTTCCAGGCTCCAGACACTTATGGCTTGGATCCCATCACATCCCTCTCTGTCTCTGCGTTGCAACAGCTTGAAACTTGAAACTTCACAAAAGGTTTATCGGTACAGTGCACGGAGCTGCTCGAGCAGCTGCACAGCTACATCTCTCAGGCAGCGCGGCCTGTCACGTGCTGGGAATCGCAACCGTGGACACCCGGCCACCAAGCGAGTCAGGCACCTTCTCCGAGCGCAACTCCGACACCTTGGAACCCATGTGGTGCTTTCCATTCCTACAAATTGCGTGGACAATAACTTTCTTTCATCACGTCAATTGCAGCCACAAAAGAATTTAAAGATCGATTCAAGAGATGCGCGGGGGGCACCGCCAGCTGCAGCACCACCACCTCAATGCACAACTAAATTTCTTATCAGCACTGCAAAACACACATTGCCACAGCACTGGATACTTGGAATTCCAAACTCACAAAAAAGCATTGCCTCCAACTCCAACTGCTGCCCCGCCATCAGCACCTGCAAAACCAAAAAACTGACTCTCCTTTGCAACAGAAACACTCAAGCGCATTCCGCTTGGAGCCTCCACCACCTCCGCCACCAGCAGCAGCCCCGACGGCAGCAGCATCACCTGACACTTGGAGGACAGCATGCGCCGGAACTTCCAGCACATAAGCACGACCTTGTTGCGCACGTTGCAGAAGCAGCTGGAGGTCATCAGCGGACAGGCCTTTGGCAGCCTGCAATGCAGTCTTCAAAGCAAATTTGCAACCTTTTCAAACTTTTCGTTTGAAAAAAAAACTACGATGTTGCTGGCAAAAGGTTGCAGCAGCC